CGCCTGAGTCACCTGGACGGCCCTGTACCGCCGCCGCCGCGTAGCCCCTGCTGGCCCTGAGGTGTTGGGGTCGTAAGTTCGTTTTCTCATTGCTCAGGTCTTCTGCAGCACCTCTGTCACCTGGTGTGGGTCCGTGACGGTGTATGTCTCTGGTCTTTCCCCTCACGGGTGTCCTTATCCACCCATCCCCCCCACGCCGGCCCGTGCCGGGATCGCGGAGGGGCCGCGGGTAGCGTTGCCGCGGGCCCCCGCTGCCATCGTTTCGGTCATGACATGAGTTTGCCAGAGGCGGGCCTCGGTTCCTTTTCAGCTGTAGCGGTAGGTGCGGAGCCAGAGAGCACCGTAATACTGGAGGCAGGGCGTGTGGTTTGTAGGGTAAATGGTTATTGGTACAGCCGGTAGCTTAGAAGGACGCTGAACTCTTCAAATGCTTGGGTTTTTTTCTCCTCCTGGCTAAAGAGGATTTAGGAGAGGGAGCAATAAAGTTTCCATCTTGTGAAGATGTGGAGGCCATTATGTGTGCAAAAGTTTTAGCAGTTTCATGTTATTTAAAAACCTTTTTGTTTTGTCTAAGCTTCTGGCTAAATAAATACTAGGAATATTGCCTAATAATATGTGTGAAACGGCTATGGGCTTGAACATAATACAGGTTAGGAAAACATGTGTGGGTTAGAATGTACCGAGCTGAATACCATCCTCTGGAGTTTTGTCCAGTAGTCTGGAATGATAGAAAAAAAAAAAGAGTGGGGGACACACAAATGCAAATAGCTGAGGGCCAAGGGGAGAAGGATGCACAGTGGTAGTATAATTTTATCTGCTAGTAAAATATTCCTAGGGCCTATCTGAAATAATCAGATACTCTTTAAGCAGGAGTCTCAGTTTCAATAAATGCAGTTTGCGTAAGTGACTGAATATACCACAATTGTTGCTGCCTTAGTCCAATGGTATTTTTGTTTGCTTTTAGAATCCAATAATATTTACATTGTAGTTCTCCTCTTCATATGCTTAGCTTTGGCCTCTGGTTTCTTTTACACTGTCAGCTAAATTAAAGAATTATTTGTTAACTGTGTTTGTTTCATAAATTGTTACATAGAACATTATGAGATGGGTTTGACTAGTTTGACCATCTTGAGTCTTGCATGCTAAATTGTTTTTCCAGCCTGTCAGTCTACTGGGGCCTTCCTACTCTTTCAATGTCTGTTACAAATCCTGGGTCACCAGAACTTGAGTGTTGTGTTCTAGAAGCATATGTTCTAGAGCTAAATACTTACTGTGATTACTCTACTGTTAGTGTTTAGGCATCCAAAGATAACCTTATTTTTTTCCAGTGCAGTATAGCATAAGGAGTTCTTGTTCAGTTTGCTAATGAGTAATTTCCAGCTTTCTTATGTCCCAGAAACCTCTGTCCTATAAGCATTGTTGACTTCTGTTCTTGCTGGCATGATCTCATACAAGCTCAAATTTGAGGAGATATAATTTAACATAACTGCTTTCAGAGTGGTAATATAATTTAATGTGACATGGACTTATTGGAAGTCTATATCACACTAAATTATATATATGCACACAGGTGTGCACACTTCCCTGCTTTTTAGCAAGGAGTGAGTGTAATTGTCTGCACAGTCATATTCCAAGCGTCTTTCAAATATTGTTTTTTTTCTTTGCCCTGTAGATTGGGGAGCATGGCTGCTAAGAAACTAAGAAGAGCAAGGTTGTCTCAGGAGCTGTGTGAAAGGCTGAGTCGCCATCAGATCACTACCTGTCAGGTGAGAGGGTTATTTTATGTTTGGAGGGGTGTGTGTGTTTTAATGCATGTACTGTTTACTTCTTTTGCAGTTTAATTTACAGGGAGCTTTACTTTATATCTATAAAGTAGGGGGCATTTCAGGCTCCATCTGGCATGCTGCCTTGTAAAAAAAAAAAATATCTAGCTTTAAAGGGATAGATGCCTAACTAAAACATTTAAACTTGTATGTACTTGCTACCTTCCCTTCTAAAGAACCTGAAGATGCTTGATTTTACCTGAGATGTGCAGCTACTACTTGCCTGCAGTAAGACATCCATTTCACAAAACCGCATTTATACCACATAATCAAGTGTGTGAACATGCTGTGATGTTATGCTATCAGTTATGGGTTGATTCAGCAGTATGTTCTGAAGTTGTTCTCATGAATACTCACCTAAAGAGAGCCAAGAGGCCCTATACATTTCAGTAGTATGCACGATAAATACAGGCTCTAGCCTTAGGACTGCAATCTAGAAGACATGATGTAATTTGGATATTTTTCAGGTAGGTAGAGACTTTTGTGGGCAAAAAGGTGTTATCTCGTTGCAATTCCACCACATAGTTCTTGAATGGTTGATCCTTTGACTCCATGTCCTTTAAAATAGGAATACAATTTCCTTTAGTATACTGGTATCAGATCAAGGTAGGAGAGGTATAGCATAACAACGTGGCACAGTTGGTAAACCTGTAGAATGTATATTGGTTGTATATAAATTGCATCAGTTTAGTCCTCATTGCATCAGTTTAGTCCCCAGTCTTGATTTGTAGCATGAGCTCTCTGAACTGTTCTATCATCTTTCAGGACTTTTTATGTCTTTCCTTCTTGGAGCTAATGAAAGTGACAGGACAGAGCTACTATGATGTGCAGAAGCTTGTTTGTAAAGTCAGCCGGGCTTGTGCTCCCAAAATGCAGACAGTAAGTATGCTTGTGTTGGTTCTGTTTTCCATACAGTATCCGGGAAAAAGCTCAGTGGTGTTGCCCATGTTTTTACCTGGGAGGTTTGTGATGTCTCAGTTTGATTGCACAATGAAATAATACTTTTATTTTTAAATCTAGAGCTCTGAGGCACTTGCAGTGACTTTTGTTAGGTATTATAGCCTCAAGAGATTGTTCAGTCTTGCAGAATCAGTTCTGAGGGCAGTAGGGAAATATGGCATTCTCTCTTGCAGTCCAGCACATAAAAATTGCTTCTAGTTTGGACCATGCCGCTAAAAAAAAAAATAATAAAAAAAAAATCACTGTTTAGTACAAGCAAAGAATAAGAATTTCAGTATAAATTGTTTTTAGACATAAAATTGGTGCCAAGAAGTGATGTGATCCTGAAAATAACTTCTTGAGGATTTTTTCCATCCATGTAAATGAGCTGTAGTGTGATTTAGGCTATGGGTAGCCTAAGAAAGAAACAGATGTTACCTGCGATGCAGTGACTAGAATTTTTTTTCTTTTTTGTTTGAATCCAGGTGAAGAGATGTCAGAAATGGTGTCCTGTTTAGAACAGAGAGAACATGGACAGTTCTGACCTGTGTCGATGCAGCCTGCTTTTTTTTTTTCCTGGGAAAAAAAAACCAACCTTGTCAAAGTTTATTATGTGTAATTGGCATAGAAAGTGTAGCAGTAATTCTGTGAAACTTTGAATTCACAAACATACTGCATTAAAGTTAGTGATATGCAGAATTAATATGGCTTCTACTGAATGGATTAAAAGCTAACTAATTACTAGTTTTCCATCAATAACTTAATAATCATCAATAAATTGAATACAGATGGAAGTTTTAAGTAGAGTTATAGCATTTACTTGTGCCTGTCATCCACACATCACTATTCAATCAAATTTCTGGAATAAACTATATCTTTGCCAAGAAGCTTGGCAGATAGTGAAGTTTGTCAGACATCAGTTGTCAAGGACTGTTAATACAGAGCCAACTGATAAGATGACCCAATATGTAAATGCATACAATACAGAGCTGTACTTCCAGATGTGGAAGATGTTAGCTATTTTTAAGGGTTGTGGATTGAATCTTTGCAAACGCAGGATTTCAAATGGACTTGAGATCAGAGGGACTGATACAGCATCATGACTGATATAGCAAGAAAGTTTGACAATATATTTGAGTAAATGAAAAAATCAAAAAAATAGATAATAGGAGTTATAAGTAAGGGGAAAATACCAGATCAGAAGCATTGGCAGCAAAACTTGAGAGTATGCCAAGATACACAGTAAAATTTTAATTTCTGGAAAACTTGCCTAGCAATATGAAGTACAGAGTGAAGCCTACTGAGCTTATCGGAGAGGAAGTCAGTTAAGGGGTAACTTGATCACATTATACGCTGAGTAGAAAAAGATAATTATATTGGAGGTCTCTAAAGTCTAGCTGAACAAAAGCTGAATGAGATCCAGTGTATGCAAGATAAATTAAAAAATAAATTCCTGAAATGGGAAGTAATAAGAAAATCTTTAGAAACTAACATAAGTTACCATTGGAAAAGATTCTTTCGCTTGAACTGTGATTTAACAATTGAATGAATATTTTCTTTTACTGAAAGACAGTCTGGTTCAACCGTAATTTTGTGGGTTAAATACTGAAATCACTGGGTAAGATTTTAGAGTCTGTCTTAGGCAGGAAAGCTAGACTAGGGTATTGTGTGTTTCCATGGTCTACAGGGTTTGTTTCCAGTCTACAGGGTTTATGTCCTGTCAGAGGGTAAACAAAACATGATTAAACTATGTTGCAAATCCTTCTTCATCAGTACATATATTCACTCTTAAAGTGAATCTGAGCATAAACTCCGATCCCATAGGAGTGAGGTAAAATTAATTGTTTTTTGTATTGGTCTTTCCTGTGTCTTGAAAGCTATTTTCTCTATATTTCTCCTCAACAGAACTGAGGAGCAGAGAAGGTCTGAATGAATTTCAGATATTATTCTAATATGCTACCTGTCATAACATGGGGAAGAACGGTGGCATAAGAACGGAAGGTACAAGCTATCTTATCTTAGCCTGTTGGTTGAACTAGCGGGAAATTTTTCTGATCAACTTAAGCAAAAAATGCACGCTTGTTGACCCCACAAGTATGGACTAAAACATCTAGGATTCAATTGTGTGGTTAATTAGTTAATGATGATTCCTGTGGAGGTGCTTCCATAGTACATCATATTCCCAGCAGACTGTCTTAAGACTGGGATAAATCTGACACCTGTATATCTGTCAGGCATGGAGAAACCAGATTTTCTGCAGTGGTCAATCATGGCAGGTTCTGGTGGTATGCTGTGACAGGGCTTTGAGAATCACTTTAGTTGGGCCAGGAGTCTGAAACCTCTGGGAAACTCTTGACTATAGCTAGAGCAACAACTGTTAGATCTTGGACTGTTCCTTTTAAAATCAAACCTGTGATGTTCAGGGTGTTCAGTGGTTGAGGCATGCATCAGCATGAGGAGGTGTCCACAAGGTGCAACCAAGACCCGTTTCATAGAATCATAGAGTGGTTTGGGTGGGAAGGGCCTTTAAAGATCATCAAGTTCCAACCCTCCTGCCATGGGCAGGGACACCTTTCACTAGACCAGGTTACTCAAAGCCCCATCCAACCTGGCCTTGAACCCTTCCAGGGGTGAGGACTCCACAACTTCTCTGGGCAGCCTGTTCCAGAGCTTCACCACCCTCACAGGAAAGAATTTCTTCCTGATATCTAATCTAAATCTACCCTCTTTCAGTTTAAAACTGTTACCCCTCATCCTATCACTCCACTCCCTGATAAAGAGTCCCTCCCCATCTGTCCTGTAGGCCCCCTTCAGGTACTGGAAGGCTGCTATGAGGTCTCCCTGGAGCCTTCTCTTCAGGCTGAACAGCCCCAACTCTCTCAGCCTGTTTTCACAGGAGAGGTGTTCCAGCCCTCTGATCATCTTTGTGGCCCTCCTCTGGACCCACTCCAACAGGTCCACATCCATCTTATGTTGGAGGCTCCAGAGCTGGACACAGAACTCCAGGTGGGGTCTCAGCAGAGCAGAGGAGAGAGGCACAATCACCTCCCTCGACCTGCTGGTGACGCATCTTGTGATGCAGCCCAGGATACGGTTTGGTTTTCTGGGCTGTGAGCACACGTTGCTGGCTCATGGTGATCTTCTCATCCACCAACACCCCCAAGTCCTTCTCCTTGGGGCTGCTCTGAATCCATTCTCTGCCCAGCCTGTGTTTGTGCTTGGGATTGCCCCTACCCACACGCAGGACCTTCCACTTGGCCTTGTTGAACTTCATGAGGTTTGCATGGGCCCACCTCTCAGGGCCGTCAAGCTCCCTCTGGATGGCATCCCTTCCTTCCAGCCTGTCAACTGCACCACACGGTTTGGTGTCATTGGCAAACTTGCTGAGGGTGCACTCAATCCTGCTGTCCGTGTCACCAGCTGTCCCGGTTGCGGCAGGGATGGGGTTAATCTCCCCCCGGAGCCGGCAGGGGGCGGGCATTCCATCCCACGTGACCCATCCCGGGCTATAAGAGGCGCGAGCCCGGCGAGGGGAGCAGTCGCCGCTCGGGGGGGGGCTGGGGCGGGCG